TTGGATCCCAATTTCATATAGGTACCAGCTAAAACCTTTTACTGCTCAGTTTTATGACATTTGTTAAGTATGTTCAGAAGCGGGGATTCAGTCTTTTGAGGAATGCTGTTGATAGAAATTTAAGCGGAGAATAAGTATTGTGTCTGATTATTTCCAATAAATACATGTTTTTAAATATAGTTCTCTGGACATACAGTTTCTTAGCTCATGACTGGTATTTCAATATTGCAATTGCATTTTTGTTTAAATTACAGTATTATACTTGTTAAAATACTTCGATATAGAATTGTACCAAATATAGACTAAGACCACAAAAGTAGGTACATAACAGAGTTAAAAAGTTAAAAACTTTTAAAAAGTTAAAACAGAGTTAAAAGAAAGGTTCAAATCCACTAGCTCATAAATGCAGACAAGTGTTAGGCTTGCACCCACCTTTCAATAAACAATTAAATCCTTGCAAAATTAAATCTCTTGTCATGTGATAAATAATCATTCTAAATCCTGGAATTACCTTGGGGACGGTCTGAGGACAGATGAGAAGACATGAAGGAAACAAAATGGTGAGAGCCAACGTGTGAAAATAGCTGAACTTTAAATGTCGTGTACAGTAGCAAAGAACCTTCTTGGTAATGTACATTCATATAAGACCTAGGAGACAGCAAACCAAAGCAATAATTCTTTATGGCAACATAAAAATATTTAAAATCCCCTGGCAAGTGGTAGAAAGGTCATTTTGCTAGGGTTATGTTCTGCTTTTCTACTTGGCACATAAGTAATGGTGCAAGGTGGTATGTTCTAGCACTTGCTACAGGTGTCTCACTGTTGGTACTCAACCTTGTGCAATCATGCTGGCAATTTTTCTCTCCCTGGGGAGTCCAGACATAAACTTATCCTTCCTAACCAGTGTCTGGTTCAAATAGCCTAATATGAACATATATGACACTGTATATAAATATATAGTTATACATATATGCATGTGTAGTTATATTGTGCACATATGTAGTATATATATAATATATTACTATATATTTTTTGTAGATATACATATAAACCATGTAGACAGTTAAATACTTCTGTGTATAGGATTCCCTTGAACATTAGTCTGAATCTACTTACATAAATAAGCCAATAAACTTTGCTAGCATTAACAACATCATTAATAGATTTTATTTAAGTGACTATAGAAAAGAACTGAAAAAAATGTGTTAAGTAACACAATGTCTTGACTTGGCTCATTTGGAGTTGCAACAATAACAAAACACCCACAAAAAACCCACAACAAACAAACAAACAAACAAACAAACAAACAAACAAAAAAAAACAAACAAAAAACCCAAAACCAAACCAAAACAAAAAACCAAACAAACAAAAAACCCCCACCAAACAAAATAAAAACCCTCAAAAAAACCATAACCAAACCAAAACCAAAACAGAACAAAAAAGCCACAAACCAAAATAAAGAAAACAACCCCAATACTCCAGAAGACAGGTCTAAAGAGAGTTCCTCATCTCATCTTATAGATGGAAAAGTGTGTTTTTTTGCATTTTTTGTCCAATAAAACTTGGATTTGTGATAGCTAGTTACCTTAAAGCTGTCTGTTTGAAAAAGTTCGAAAATCTTTGGAGTAGCAATTAACTGGTTCCCCTGACAAGGGCTACCAGGAAATTGGTAATCATAACAAAATATTTCAAGTAAAAAGATGCAATTTAAGTTTTATTGAACAAAACAGAAAAAAATAATTTCTATCATAACAAGGAGTAGATATTTACTGAGTTAGCCTGTTAATTAACTATGTTTACCAAGAGATCATTTATGCAGCTGAAGAAATGGCCAGCTGTAATTGGTCTCCTACCTCAGGGGAGCCAGGGACAACTCTTGTTAGGCTGGAATGACACAAATCTGGATCCTGACCAGCTGGAGCAGACTTTCTTCTTCCAATATGCCCATATTTCCCTGCTGAGAAACCTTCTGCCAGAACAGGCCCCTGTCAAAGTTTTCAGTGTGTCTTGTCCATCACTATCATGAATCAACATTTTACTCCACAACAGGTTTGTAAGGAATTTTTTTTTTAATCTGCTTTCACCTTTAATGAAGAAAGATATGCATAATCATTTAAAACCAAATTGGTTTCCAATTGTTTGCTTAGGGAGTTTCAAAACAAAACTCTCTGTGTCTTATAATGTTTTTTCTGTTGCATGTTTTAAATATATACCTTTAAGAGAAACGTCAAGCCACTTTCTCAAATGGAAAAATTGTGCACTTTTTACACATAAAATCTGTTTATGTCAATAGAAGACTGTAATTAAAATATCAAGAGAGAAAAATCATGTAATAGCCAATAATAGCACATATTGAATGCTATTTTTCATCAAAAAAATCAAAATTGTAGCTACTTTAAGATGAGTACCTTTAAAATTGCCATTTCCTATTTAGAAATTTACTTGCTCTAAGTTATTATTTCCAGCTATTCTTATATCTGTGGCTAGATTACTGTTATTAATTTATCATCAGTTTCTCTTATCATGAATTAAAAAATGAAAGTTGTAGTACAATCTCTTTGTTTCTTTCACTTTATAGAGAAAACCATGTAAAAACCTTAAACTTCCCATACACAGAACTAATGAGCATTCAGACATCCTTTATTAAGCACCAGGAAGCATTAATTAAATTTTGTGATTTTTTTTGTCAGAACTTAATTTCTCTTTCCAAATTAAAAGTAATTTTGTTATTGTTGCCTTCCTTCCTGTAAAATTGCTTGTGATGTGATTGATTTGCGGTTCCCAGTGCCGTAGATGATGGTATTTTGACTTAATCAGACAATTTTCCTTATTCATATATTCTTTCCATCAGTTTCTACCTCTTCCTTTAGACACCAAGGATTTTAATTGATTTCATGGGTTTTTTTCACCTCAGAATGTCTCATTTAATTCTGTAGGTGGTTGAAATAGCCTGATCAATAGGTTCTGTGCCTGTAATATTTATGGTAAAGGATAAAGGGAAAGAGTTTAATGGGATATTACCCTCTTGCAATGCTTCTCCACTACTAGGACATAGTGTTCAACTGTATTATGTACTATAAATCACCTGAAAGCTCCAAATTTAAACATCCCCCAAATGCATTCCTAATGTCACAAGGAAATTGTGGGAGGTCTGCAAGAACTGTGGTATCTAATCTGACTTTTAGTAAATAAGCAGGGTGGGTGGAGAGTAGAGAACTATTTCTCGTTTAAGATTTCAACTCTAACACATAAACACAAGTCTCTCTCTTTCAAAAACACCTCCTGCCTCATGTCCTGTGCCTCTCCTCTCTGGTCCAAGTTGGACCTGCACCATGGATCCAGGGGGGTGAGATACTTGTGACCACTGAAGGCAACTGAGTCCAGGTCTCAACATTTAGCATCCACCTTGGGCTTCATCTTCAGGGTACAGCTAAAAGCTGAAGTGTGGAGTTTACATGACAAGGTGTGATTGTCTTCACTATATATTGGTTTCTGAACTAGGCTATTGGTGCAAGTCTTTCCTTATTCTGACTCTCACATATTTCTAAATGTCCCAGGTATGCTCCACTGTTACTTATTGGTCTCTATTAAACAATGGAAAAATTGTATACAAATCATATAGAGCTGAAGCATGCTCCTGTTCCAAAGCGTCTCCCATTTTTAGATTTTAGAGGACACACACAGAGACCTATATTCCACTATACTGTGACTTTTCCAGGTCTCAATACAATTAGATTTATTGTATGTTCATTTTGACTGGGTTTGCAGTCTCTTCTGATTTTTGTTAGAAAATATTTTTGAAAGAGAATTTTTTTTCATCTGTGTGTTCAGGCAAATGCCAAATGTGTTTAATTTACACATATGCATTTCTAGTGGAAAAACTTACACAGATAGAACATCAGGTCTTGAATACAGAACACCTAAAAGGAATAGTTAAGTAGAAGGTGTTTGCCTTGTGTTTTGTTTTGTTTTTCTCTTTCATACCAACTGCTTGTCAAATAGAGGAAAACATATTAGAAAAGAAGAACTTCATAACAAATTCTGTCAACAGAAATAGAAACAATTTAAATAATCAAATTGTATGATATTGTATGTGAAAAGGTTTTTTCAACTGTACCTAATCCATAATGAAACTGGCTTAATGAATAATAAAGATCCAAATTAGAGCTCTAAATAAATAAATATTTAGGATGCTATTCTGCCTTGTATAGAAAAGCTATCTTTTAAATTATAGTGTGTGTATATAAATGTATGCTCATTTCAAAATAAGTTCAGCGCACAAAAAAATTACAGATGTAAACTTACACCTGCAAGTAAGATTTCAGAAGTTTCAGAAAAGCCTGAAAAGCACCTGTAATAGCAACAAATTGGTAATAGCCTCTCTCTTTATAGTTTACTCGCTTTACACAAAAAACAAACCAGCCCATCCATTTTAAAGAAAGGTTTATTAACCTTAAAAATATCACAGACTTGATTAAATAATTAATCCAGTTAATGGACTCCAGATAAATATCAATGGTGATAAAAAAAATGTTTTTTTAACTTATAAATCAATCAAATTAGAAGGGATACCAGAAGATATCTAGAACTGAAGCTCCTGCTCAAAGCATGGTTGACATAATTCAGATAGTACTTTGGGGCTTCATGCTACACTTCTACCTCACTGAGCAGTCTAGGAAAGGCAGAGCTTCAAAACCTAAAGAATGTCCTCAAAATACATGACTATTTTTCCTTAATATATGATTTCCTAAGACTTATGATTAAATAGCATCTCAAATACATTTAATTTCAAATAAAAATGCCTCTGATTTTCCAAACTGAATCACAGAATGGGTCAGGTTGGAAGGCATCACAGTGGGTCATCTGATCCAATCTCCCTGCTTAGGCAGGGTCATCCTAGAGCACATTGAACAGGTTTGCATTCAGATCGTTCTTGTATCTCTCTGGTGAAGGAGACTCCACAACCCCAGTGCATGGTCACCTGCAAAGTTAAATTCTTCCTCAGATTCAGGTGGAAATTCCTGTGCATCAGTTCCTGCCTGTTGCCTCATTTTCCTATTGCTCAGCACCACTGAGAAGATCCTGAGTCTATCCTCTTGACACCCTCCCTTCAGACACTTATTATTTTTTATATATATTATTGATGAGGTCTTCTCTCAGTTGTTTCTTCTTGAGGCTGAACACACCCAGCTCCCCCAGCCTTTCCTTGCAAAAGAGATACTCAAAACCTTTAATCATCTTTGTTGCCCTCTGCTGGACCTGACCCGGGAGCTCCATGTCTCTCTTGTATCAAGAAAAGCTCCCTTTTAAGAGAGGTAAAAGACTCACCAATGACTTCTGTAAAACTCTTGAAAGTATAATAGTGAGGTTATAAAGAATTACCTATTTGTGAAATGTAGGTATAATGAAGACTATCTGCTACCCAAGATAGCAAAAAATAAAGAAAGGATAACATAAATACTGAAATATAAATTTTATGTAGTAATATAACCAGGGAAACAACTATCCTGTATTCATCTTTATGGCTGTCATATAGTTTACTGCTCTTGTACACATAGTTTCTTGTTTCTTACTTATATCTGTCACTGGTTGCTGTGTTCTCTTTAGTGAGAGATACCTTTCAGTTTATCACTCCTTATCATCATGGTGTGACAAGTGATTGACTGTGCTTTCAGGAAGGTGGGGAAGTCGAAGTATGTTCACTGATTTAAAACATATGTTTTACTTAAAGGAAATACTTTATGGTACTGTTAAGATTTTGCTTGTTTGTTTTTTTTATCTTAAATTTTACATTAAATCTTACAACAAATCTTGTAACTTGTTATTTGTGCCAGGTAAGGTAAATACCTTCTGCTCTGCATTGTAAGAGCCAGCATCCTACTGTTCTCATCTGTATCTGTTAAAAGAACAGGTGCAAGGCATTTGTATACCAATGACTTTCCCATGATACCTTCAGTTTGAATGTATGAATTGATGGAAGCTTTCCTAAGCTGCAAAAAGCTTTTTGTCAAATGTGTTTTGGCAGGGAACTGGCATCTTGTCATGTAGCTGCGCCACATCATAATATTCTGTACAATGTAATATTCTAGAAAAGAAATGTGTTTACATTAAATCTTACCTTTTTTTTCTAAAACTAGACAATGCTAAGAGCAAAATCCTGGTTTTGGCCATTGAAAACACCATGTTCCCCAAGTGCTTGTTAGTCTCTGCTCAAGGCTGGATGCAGTGCAGCTGCACAACCATTATCAGGTGATTGAGAAGAGCTGGATGAGATGGATATGAAACAAACCTATCTGGCACCTTCCTTTTTCATGTAGGAGCAGAACTTCTATGCAGATGCTTTGAGTCATAGCTGGAGTTAGGTTCCCATCTTGGCCCTGATCCTCACCTTGACCCATGGGCAAAGACTTACCCATAGGCTTGTGTTTGCAAGTCTCTGAAGTCTTGTCTGACCATTCGATACCTTGTTCACAATCCCTGTCCCAGCCCTTCTCTCTTGATTACATGCTGTGGGGCTGTGCCTCTTGACGAGTTTCTCCTCTGCTGGCCTCTCTCACTCTTAGCTCCCAGCTTCCTGTTTGATCTCACAATTCCCTTTAAGATCATGCAAAATACTGTCTTCAAAACTGGAAAAAAAAGTCTCAAGATGTTTTGTCTGTGACCTAATATCACAAATGAAAATGAGAACTGATCAATAATATAATTATTTTATACTTCCATGATACAACGCTGTAGTAATAATTTAATTTTTGACTTATTAGAGAAATAGTTTTAGAAGTCTTCCAAAGGATACTTCCAAAAGTGAAGAGGAAAGTGTTGATCTCATCTCCTTGGTATCTACTGATAGGATGGGAATGGTTCAAAGCCGCATCAGGAGAGGTTCAGGGCTGGCATTAAGAAGCATTTCTTTGCCAAGAAACCAAACTGTATTTCTAGAGATGTATTTGATACCATAAGCCTGTCAATGTTTAAGAGGCATTTGGAAAATGTCTTTAACCTCTTGCATTAGCTTTGGGTCAGCCCTGAATTTTTCAGGCAGTTGGCACCAGAATTAAAGAAAACATTATGGCTGAGGAAGAATAACATGCTGGTAAGTAAGTATATTACTGCTTCAGCTACAGAATACTGTAGCTGTAAATTCATTATTGCTAGTAAAAAAAAAAAAAAATATTTGTTTGTCTGTCATGGTAAGTGTAAGACTTAATTAGGAATTTTTTGCCACTAGAAAATGTTTAACATACATACTGGTATTTCCCAGAAAACTTAGTTCATCTAGGAGGTGCTAAGTTTAGAAAGAGCAAAAACCAGGTTAAGAGAAGTCAAAGAAAATGGAATTATGTATCTTTCTTCCTTTTCTTCTCCAGAATGGATGATCTTTGAACGAAATGGCTGCATCTCAGATATTTCTCACATATCTCTCTTGCAGATTTTAGATCTTCATATCTTCAGATGCTACCACAATTCAGAAAACCCTTAAAATCTCTCCAGGATTTCTTATTTCCTTCAGGGAAAGTAAGTTGCAGCTGTTGTGGTTTAACTCTGGTATGCACATAAGAGCCACACAGCCCTTTGCTCATCGGGGTACAGAATCAAAAAGGCAAAAACAAGAAAACTAATGAGTTGAGATATAGAGAGTTTTATAGCAAAAACAAAACCTGTGTACAGGCAAAGTAAAATAAGGAATTCATTCACTACTCTCCATATGCTGGCAAGTGTTCATCTGTACCTAGGAAAGCAGGCCTTCAAGTAGCCCCAGCAGAGTTAGTTGGGAAGACAGATGACACAACTCCAGACATATCTCTTTCCTCTTCACCCCAGATTTTACTGCTGAGCATGACATGTTCACTCCAATTTTTACTGCTGAATATGATGACATATGGTATGGAATATTACTTTTGGTTAGTTTGGATCAGCTGTCCCAGCTGTGTCTCCTCCCTCTAGGAGAGACATGGAGCTGTTGGAGTAGACTCAGAGGAACTTGGTGAAATATTTGATATTTGTTGATGTCCAGGGCTTGTACAGGGGAAGGTCTTGAGTAATTCCTAGGGTTTTTTTTCGTTTGGCTTTTTATTCTTCTTCATCCTTAAGGATTACGATTCTGTAACTCTTCATGTTTTAAACATACATGATGTCATGAAGAAGGTTATTTTAAGCCATTTTTTGTGTTATGAAATGTAATTCTTAGTATCTAAGTCACAACTAATCCGGTATGTGCATCTTATCTAAGCCATTTATTGTAGCTCTGATATTAAAAGAGACAGGACATGCAAAACAGATGTTCTGAATTACTTTCCTCTTGGATAAATCTTGAAGGGATATATGCCAGTAGTTCCAGACTTCATTTTGCATCAAGGCTTTCTGGTTTTCTTTTCTAGAATGTCTTGAACACACACAGCTATCTTCATGTCAAAGAGAAAAAAGCAGTTTATTCTGTGCAGTTCTGTTACCACTGCAACACAATAAAGAAGACGCCTTGATTGATTACTTATATAAAATTGATCAGATTACCTATGTTATGTGGTTTAACTGGCCTATGCCTATGTTACTGATAGCACTAGTTGTGTCCATCACTGTCTCTGTTAATACTGAAATTTGAGGATAAAATTATAATATTGTTAATACAAAAACTTAGCATTCTGATTTTTATATAATATGTTAGAAAAAGTAAAATAACCATTTATTGATTATTCAAAATTGTTAAAATTTATGCCAAGTCTGGAATTTACCATGAACACTTCACAGAAATATGCTATATAGTGTAGCCAAATGACATTAGTCAAATAGTCTTAAAAATGCTCTCAACTGGATATATAAGCAAAGATACCTTTGAAAATGTAGAACTGTAGCCTATTTATAGGATCAAAGTGCAATTCAGGTCTGAAGATGTTTCACCAAGCCCTGCAGTCCAACCTCTTGGCCAGTGCTCTGTCGAGGTGTCCTCAAAGTTTCCAAAGACATAGACAGTGGAATTTGTCTGAGCAACTTGCTCTGTTGACTGGGTGTTCTCATTGGGAAAAGGTTTCTCTTCACACTCAGAAACTGCTATGTTTCAAATTATGCCCACTGACTCTCATCCACCTACTCTGCTGCTGGCTGAGCATGGTGGGCTCAGCAGTGCTTAAGTTAACTTCTGGATTTAATTTTAATTTTTTTTCCAACTTACATGATTCTTCTATGATTCTATAACGCAGGACCTGGTTCTGTCTCCTTTCTGACTCCCCCCCCTGGCAAATATATGCTTTTGTTAGGAGTCTCACTGGCATCTCTTCTCCAGGCTGAGCAAGCCCTGGTCTCTAAGCCTCAGCTCATAAGGCAAGTGATCCAGTCCCAACTGCCCTGGTGGCTTACCAATGTCTCCTGTACAGGACACAGAAATTAGAATCTGCGCAATTAGCTCTGAGCAAAGGTAAGAATTATCACTTCCCTGAACCTGCTGACTGTGCTTCCATTCATGCTGCTGGCTGTCTTTTGCTGTCAGAGCACACTGCTGGCTCATGCTCAGCTCAATGTCCCCCAGGGCCTTCAGGGTCTCTTTGCCAGAGCTGCTCCTTAGTCTATCACTGCCCAGTCTAGCACTGCCATGGGGTTTTCCCCATGTGTAGCAGGGCTCTGCATTTTGCCACACTTCATGAGGACAGACCATTACTCCAGTCTATCAACATCCCTCTGGATGGCAGCCTCTGACTTCCATTGTATTTACTGGTTCCATCCCCAGACAAATTTATTGTCATCTTCATAAAAATAAATCAAAGTCTTTCTAATCTTAATATTCTTGTTTACAGAATGGAATTTTTAAGGGGGGGGAAGAAAAATATAAGTAAAATATTTAAGATAGTTAATACATTTCTACTCCAAGTATTATTTCTTGACTCTGTAAGATCATGTACTCAGACTATTGCATTATCTATAGTGATTGGTAAATTAATTTGAAATAAAACTAGAGAAATATGATTTGATGCAGCACAGAAAATTCTACACATTTTATGCACCAGATTGCTTTGCAAATGCATTCCTTTCAATCTGCCTTTAGGCAGTTGGAGTAGATAATATTCCTATTAATAGACGCTCTAGGCATAAAGAGACAGGAGGTACATACACTGCTCAGAACCAGAAAATCTTTCATGTGGTGCAATCTTTTGTAGCATAGTTTTCCATAACCAGAAACAAATGTGATGAAGATTGACTAGATC